CCCCAAAACCCCAAAACCCCAAAACCCCAAAACCCCAAAACCCCAGATCAAGTAATCTGTCTTGAATATAAATTTTATCAAAATTATCAACATCCGAACTCTGGGCGAATCATCTAATCAAAAATATTCGAAATTAAGAATAATAGAGATATATACAAGTCTATGATCCTCATAAGCTGAAGAAGGATGATCATCAGCCGACCTTGACCTCATTCTCTTCGATGATGACCTTAGGCTTATCTTTCTTTTCTTTAGTATGAAGTACCGGTTCATCTCTGAGTCTTTCATAATCTTCATTATCATAAAAGTATTTTTGCTCTAAGAAATCACATGGCAAGGCACTTACCTATTGTGTCAAGAATTTGGATAATTTCTTTTGAGCATGGCTGCTTCTCAGCAAGATCATAAGCGGTCTCTCCCTTGGAGGTCTTAAAGCTTTTATCAGCTCCATGCTCGAGTAAGAACTTTACTATTTCTAGGTTCATATTATTTCTGGAATTCATTAAGTTTCTCATAAGGAATAGTTCAGAACTTCATAAGAAGGGTCTTCCCGTTTCTTGTGAAGTTAATATCTGCACCTGCTTGTAAGAGAATTTCTGCTATTTTTCAACAAATATTTTTATTTTCGAACATATTAACGGTCTCTTGCATTCGCAAAAATCAATAATACCTATACTTGTTAGCACAAGTCTTACATTGGAGGGAAATCAAGACTGGTTGCCAAATTTATGTCGGCACCATTCTCTACTAGTGTCTTTACCACGAGATAGTGGCCTCCAACTCATGCTGCGGACAGAGGAGTCATTCCTACTCCTTCAGTTGGGAGGTCGATCTCCACAGATGTATTTTCAAGGATCATGCACACTATTTCATGCCTTCCAAGATAACTCGCTGCTGTTAGAGGTGTTACTTTCTCGTCAAGCTCTGTCTCAGCATGCTCAATATGAAAATTGAGATTTCTTATTGTAAAATCGAATTTCTCAAGGTCTTTTATTGAGTTATCATAAATTTTCTGAATCAAAGTGAGATCATCATAATAGACCTCTTCCTTGGATCTATGAGGGTTAACAAATCTGATTATTTAGGGATACTTACTCATCCTTATACGCAAGTCTGGAGATATCCATTTCCATATTGAAAATAAAAATTATTCCAATTTGCTAACAATTTCAATCTCATTTTAGTTCATTGGGGTTTTGGGGTTTTGGGGTTTTGGGGTTTTGGGGTTTTGGGGTTTTGGGGTTTTGGGG